TATTCCTGCGTCTTTTGGGATCTTACAAAGCTTCAAACGACGCGTCGACTATTAAATTAGTCGTCGACGATTTTGATAGTCGACTAATCGTGGCAGCCCTGATGACAGTGATATAGTGTGATGCGATTCCATATTAGATTCTTGATGAATGTGTGTTGTTGTTCTTCACCCTGGTTCTATGTGCCCCTTTTTAACTTTGAGCACCCACCTCTTTCAACATCTCTGCACAGCCCTGGTGTTCAAAATTTTGCAAGCGAAGTCTCTGTACTAAGAATTGAGGGTTTTGTTATTCATAATTTCATTTAATTCTAGTTTTGTTTTGTGTATTTTGTTCAGCATTTCCTGTTCCCGATGGGACACGTAGGCTTCTTCTAAAGATTTTGGGGTTTTTTTCTAATTCCTGAATATTCTTTTTTTTTTTCTTTTTATGTGATGAGAAAGATATTATTTTACATCTCATCACAGCTTTCCCTGCTTCCCAGAGAACAGATGTTGATGTTCCAAGGTCATTATAGTCTAAATATAAAGTCCACTCCTTTTATAAAATGTTGAATAAATTCTTCATCTTTGAGCAATGATGTATTAATCTCCAGTTTTTACTTGGTGGAATGTTCTTCTGATGTATTAGTGTTAACGACAGAGGAGCATGATCGCTGACAGCTATAGGGTGTATCTCGGTGTCTGAAATGTCACTCAACAGTGAGCTGCTGACTACAAAATAATCGTGATGAGAGTAGGAGTGATGGACATATGAGAAGAAAGTATATTCCTTACGGTTGGGGTGAAGGGAGCGCCATGCGTCGCCAAGACCAAAGTCGCTCATCTACTGTCTGATTATATTTGTGGACCGCAAATTGTGCTGAGTTCCTGCAGTATTGAGCCTATCCATTTCTTCATGTAGTCCAAAGTTGAGGTTGCCCCAAGAAGTGCGCAATCTGGGTGGAAGAAGCTATGTACTTACATAGCTTTTTGTTAAGTATAGATAATTTAATGATTAGGAATCTACCCTCTGGATCTATAAATGTGAGTACTGAGAAATTAATATCTTTATGTATTAAAATTGCTTCTCCCCTTTGTCTAAAGCTGTAGGAGGCGAAGAACACAGTGGGAAACTCAGGTATTTTAAGTTCATTTATAGCTGTGACAGGTCTGTTTGTCTCTTGTAATAAAACAACGTCTGCCTGTAGTTTTTATATTTATATTCATTTTCCCTGCAGTGTATAAAAATTTGTGTATTTCAAAAATAAACCTATTAAGACACACACACACACATACCTACACTACACACAGACGAGGTACTCTTTGTTCACACTGTGTAAGATGTCATATGTTAAGGAACCTATGCATATTCATGTAACCACAATAAAAGGCAGTGCTACAGGGGAGCTGACTGAGAGTGACTGGGGTTCAGCACTCGTCTCAGTCAGCAACAGGTTTGTGCCAACATAAACCTAACAACTGTGAACTCCACTCTGTAGCATGGGCAGTCATAATGAAGCAGTTCATTTTATTTTGTGGATTCAAGCTGCTCTTCATATTTTTGGCCACCAGATGTCACCAAAGACGACTGTGTTGAAAAGCTTTGAGTAATGAACACAAGCTTCAATGATTCAGAAAGCTTCATTTGGCCATCACTAACACTAGGAAGCTAGAAAACTAGAAACCTGAAAACTAGAGACTAAGGACGAGGATCACAGGGAGCTCGGAGGAAAAAACACAGCACAGTAAGGGTACAATGGAACAACTAACAGAGAAACAAAGGACTTAAATACACAAGCAGGACAATGAGACGATTGGGAACAGGTGGCAACACAGCTGGGACAAATAAGACCTAATGAGACAAGGGAAGCAAAATCAGACACACTGCACACAGGACAGGGACTATCAAAATAAAAGAGGAAACGCACGACAGGCGCAGAGGCACGCTCTTGACACTGAATAGGACAAACACGGCGCACAGGGACAGGAGTAACAAACTGCGACATGAGACACAACTAGGGAGCAAGAAAATAAACATGACAGAATTAAACCTACACTTAACATCAGGGGCTCAGGAACAAAACCTAAGAACTAGAAATCTTTGATAAATCTTTGTTTTTACTTGTGAACTATGTAAGCTGAGACCAATGAACTAATGATCACGGTATTCAAAATCAAAGCTGATATTTTCTGAATTTTTCTCTCAATAGTTAATATGATATTTTTATATGATTTTACTGTAGTTCAGCCACTTCCATTATGAAATAATTGGAACTTAATTCGAATAAAAGTACTCAGAATGACTTGTAATATTTTTGGTGATCCTGTGACCTTCCCTCATCACATCAAAATGCTGACATATCATTTGTGTTTTGTGCAAATTAGCAAGCGTTAGCATGCTTGTGTACTAGGTAAAGCTATAGGGTTAAATGTGATAATTATTTTATTTTTTATATACGCTAAATATTAAGCATAAGAATATGCTAAAGTCACCATTATCCATTAGCACAAAGCTGTAATAGTTTCAGGTGTAAAACTCACAGATAGTTTTACTATTACCATTTTTCTTTATTTTCTGACTATCACTTCCTACATTTTTACAGAAATATCTCTATTTGTATAACTGCATTATCAAAACAGCTCATTACTTTAGGTTTAAGATATTTGAGGTGAGTTGTTTCCTGTCACTGTGCATCTATAAACACCAACTCTTTCAGTGTAGTTTGCTACATATATCTGTAAGTCGAAGGTGCAGCTGCTGTATTTTGTCTACTTATCTAGTCCAGTGTCAGGCTTCGCCAGAGTCATTCATACCTATTTAGCATCACCAATTAACCCAACTCCATGCATGTCTTTGGGCTGTTGGGAGGAATCTGAAGTACCTACAAAGGGAAAAGATCCCAGGATGGATTTAAAAATATAACCTTCTTGCTGTGAGGCAATAGCTCTAACCACTATATCACTGTGCTGTCACTGCTGAAGTTCTGTTTTTGCATATTGTGAAGCAACATTTAAAACAAAACAAAGTATGCTAACGTTGTGTTATTCAAAGGCTGCTTGAACATAAGAGGCACTCTAGTGCAGGCTTTTTTTAGAATCATTTATCTCTTGTATTTTACTTTTATTCTAATTGTTCTGCTACCCTACATTCCTAAGAATTTAATTCCAAGTTAAAATACAAATTGTATTCTTTTCTGTTGTGGAATTTTATTATAATATAACCAACTGTGTTTCAGTTAGCTAAAAATCACGGGTCATTTACTCACCAGAGGGTTGGTGGTTCGATCCCAGGCTCCTCCAGTCTACATGCCAAATATCTTTGGGCAAGATACTAACCCCATGTTGCCCCCTGATGCATCCATTGGAGTGTGAATTTGAGTGAATGTCAGATAGAAGCACTAAAAACCTTAGATAATGTGCTTGTGTGAATGGGTATGATCGGGTGAATGCACCAGTTGTAGAAAGCACTTTGAGTACTCAGTGAGAGTAGAAAAGCGCTATATAAGAACCAGTCCATTTACCATTTAAAGTCCTTTAATTTTTTTATTTTTTTATTTTAAATCGACAGTGCACCATATAATCCTACGGAGCCCCGCAGGGGACATGGGAGAAAAAAAAGATTAAGACGGACTTTTGCGAGATCTCGCAAAACAAACTCGGGATCTCGCAAAACTTTTGCGAGATCTCACAAAAGTTGAATTCAAACAATGGCGGCAGCTACTTAATATTACTCTTTCTGGGTCACAAAATACACTTTTAAGATATTTTGAGGCGTGAATGTAGTTGGTTGGCTTCGAGCTGGCGGCCT